ATCCTGATCCAAGTGAGGCTTATGTCAGTGCTGGCCAGACCCATGTATGTGGACACATCTTTCATGAGTTTTAGGGCTGTGGGAAGGTGAGTGGGATATGGAGCAGGACACTGTGGGGAGAGCAACAGCTACTGCTACGGCAGGGAAATCACATGTTCTGGACAGAAATGTGTTTTCTGTGAATGATCTGGATCTCCAGCCAGGGTGTCAGGAAAAGACCTCTCCTACCTTCTGCAGCTCTCAGCAGGGCTGCCTGCAGGTGATGGGAAGGCACAGACATGCCTTGTCCTGGTATGGACGCACTGTGGAAGATCTGAGCTCTTCCACTTGGTTAAATTTGTCACTCTGGCTGTGGCTTAGAGAAAAGCCTTCCCCCTCCCCGCCCTTCTGCCATCAAGAAGCTGCTGAAGGAATCAGGTCGTTGATCCTTCAGCAGTGAGGCCCCTAATTAGCCCAGCTTCTTGGAGTCTGCTAGAAAAGCCGGCTGTGTCTAAGGCAGCTGAGTGCCACAGTCCTCAGTGAGGGGGAGAGAGGCCCCTCACAGGCAGGAGCCTGGAGAAAGAAGGAGAAAATGGCAGCACTTTGATGCATTAAATATGAGGAAAGCGTGCCGCTCCTGATGCTTTTTCTCCATGCCTGGGGGGGCAGAAGGAGACACACTTTCTGGGTGACTGTGGGGGCAGGTGAGCTTGGAATTGGGCTTGCTGCAGGCATGGAAAGCAGCAAGGAGAGGCAGCTCTTCCCAAATTCTCTTGTAGCTACGATGTGCACATGAAGCCCCAGCTCCCCTGGGCTTCTTGTCTCACACACATTTAATAATGATTGCTGGGCTGGGTAATAAAGTGCTGTTTAATAGCAAATCGATCTGGCAACCTGTGAGGGCACAAAGTGCTGGCTGCCAGTCCAAGTGGCTGCCACACGCAGACCCAGTGCACTGGCAGCACAGCACTGAAGCCCTGCCACAGCACCCCTCACCTTGGTACCCAGCTGTCCCATATGACCCCTACTCGCACGTGCCACTGGTGCCACTGGAGTCCCCATGGCAAGGCAGGAGACAAAGGATAAGCGAATTCCCCTCCTTGTATCTAGAAGTGGTTTCCTGAGATTTGTGTGACATTTACTATTCTTGGGGTGCCTAGTGACACTGTGATATCAAGTTCCTGGTGGCCTGAGACACCTTGGCACCCCTGGCTATAGTGTGTTTCAGGTGATGACCTTTGGAGTGATAAGTCCCTGGCACAGAACCTGTGCTCTAGGGCAAGGACTTGCAAGTGTTGGTTGGTAGCCTGGACCACATAGCAGCTTTTGTCTTCTCATCCTCGTGGTTCTTAAGCAATGGTGGGGCACAGGGCAGGCTGTACCCTTTGATGTAGGGCACAAGGCACATGACACGTGCCAGTGGTCACATAGTAACCTGCATGCAGCTGAGCAGGGGCAGGCCGTTCATATTGATGTGCACGCCGCTGAACGGAGAAATGGACACCAGGACACGGGGACGTGAGCGGGGTGGCATTGGAACAGGCACACCGGCACCGGGGGTCGCGCTGCCAGTGCATGAGACCAGGCTCGCACTGGCACAGGGGGTGTGCACACCGGGCCCTGAGCATGTGGAGATGCTACACGGGTGGGGACCCGCCGGGCTGCCCACACATGGGGACAGGCACCCCGGTGTGAATTCGGCCGCTCCTCGTGTGCCGGTGCCACCGAGTGGGGCGGGGCTTGGCGCCCGGCGGGGGTTTCCCATTGGCTGTCGTGGCTGTCAGCGGGGCGGAGTGACAGGCCCGGGCCGGGATTAGCGCGGCAGGGAGCGGCGGGTTGCGGCCGGTGGCACCGTGCCGCACCGTATCGTACAGAGCCGCACTGTACCGTATCGTACTGTACCGCGGCGCGCCCGAGGGGCGGGCCGGGCCGGGCCGGGCCGAGCCGCCCCGTGCCGTGCCGGCAGCAGCGCGGAGGAGCGGCGCGGAGGATGCGGTGGCGGCGGCGGCACTGCCGGTGAGACGCGGGGAGCGGGGCGGGGCGCGGCGGGGACCGGAGGCCGAAACGGGGCGTCTGGGGCGCGGGGAAAGTTGCAGCAGTTGTTGCAGGGAGCGGGGCGTCTCTGCGCCCTCCCGGCGGCGGTGACCGGCGGGCGGCGGCACGGGGCTGCGGTGGCAGCCGGGGGGCCGAGACCCACTCCGGCCCCGTGTGCCGGTGCGGCGGGAAGGGCGCGGGGCCGATGCCCAGGCAGGGAGATCGCGGCGGGCAGCTCCGCCAGCCCCCCTGGCCGGGGGTGCTCCCTCTTCATCCGGATGGATGTCACATCCACTCAGGGCTGATCCCGCCAAACGGGAGGTGCCGGGTGAGGGAAGCCGGGCGGGGGGGCCGGGGGGTGAAGAGCATGTTCAGCCTCAGCTCCGAGGTGGGGACACGTCCCCTAGACACCACAGCTGAAAGAGGTCACCTGTTTGCACCGCAGCCTCAGGGCCTCCAGACATCCCGCTTCGGTCACCACTTCATCCCCTCAAACTGCTCTGTGTCCCTCCGGAGGGCAGACTCGTCTCCCAGGGGCCCTAGCCCCCTCAGGTAGCCCGGCAGCCACAGCCTGGTTTCCCCCATTCCCTGCCATGGGTTCCATGTCCAGCACACAAATACGGCCCATGGTGTGAATTTAACCACCAGCCCCGCACCTCTTGCCTCTCTTCCATCGCTGTGCCGTTCTTTGCCCAATCTCTTCTCATCCTCCCCCAGCTCCTACGCCTTGTCCCCACACTCCCGTGGCGTGGGTGTGTGCTTCCCCCGCAGTGTAAGCAGTTCCTGCTGCCTGCTGCCTTCGCTCCGCATCACCCCATTCCGGCAGGCAAGCGCTTGCATGGGGAGCAGCCGTGCCCTGTTGCACTGGGTATGGCTCAAAGCAATGGCCAGGAAGCATCTCTGGACATTCCTTTGGCCGTTAATAAGGGACAGCCAGGAGGAACAAGTTTCTTGTGAGATGTTTTCTTGAACAAATTTAATCCCCCAATGATGTGCAGCCCCTGGCTATCACACTGCAGCTCCTGAGTTTTTCTCTTTGAATGCATGCCCAGGGTTGCCCAGGCAGACACCCTGTGAGATTTTCTTTGTAGAACTTCTCCTGCCTTTAGGCAGCAGGACCAGCAATGCTTTCTCCAGCCCACTGATGCTTTACAGCCCAACCCATTCATCACAGTGATTTAAGGAGCATCCTTTTGATTCACAATTGAAATCAGCAAGCAGGAAGCTGTAGCTCATTCATTCCATCGTTGGTTTTTCATCTCAGTTGCATTTGTGCTTTTTACCTTTCATTATTAAAGAAAAGCTCACTCCACTGCAGGGTGTAGCCATCCAGCTTTGATGGGTCAAAGGCAGGCATGGCCTTTACTCTAAATTTGATAAATCTGTTTTAATAACCAGGAGGACATTCTGCTTATCCCATTTATTCTAGTAATAACTCACATGTTTTGACATAGGCTGGTTTCTGTAGATTTGTTATGTTACAGAGAACACAAACTATTCCTAGAGATAAGTTTTTTCCTTGGCATATGTCTTAGTCTGCATTGAGATAAAAAATAGAATTTCATTTGCAGTATATAAACCCTGCATCTTTATTATTTAGCAGTTAACTTCAGCAACCTTGAATGTGAACACAACCATTACAGGAGAAAAATATTCTAAAAATAGTATATAATAAATTAATCAGGAGAATAAAATTTTCAGTGAGTGAATTGGAGATTGCTGTTGCTCAGCAGGACAGATTTTTTCATCAGTGTGATAATGCAGATAAATGGGTGCCTACCCCACAGGTGTGGTTTGGGTTATTTCATTGATAGTTTTGTCTGTGCATCTCTGGAGCCTAAACACTTGGAAATTCAGCCCCACTTCCTTTAGGAATTTAATCATGTCTGGTTTGATCTCAGAAACAGGGAGAAGAAAATAATGTTTTCTGTTTGCAGCTGGCATATGGTTTCTCACTTTCAAATGATGAAAGTGAAGGACTCAGTATCTTGGCATCTGTCAGAAGGCACAAGCAGCCAAGGCAGAATCTCTCTGCACATTAGGAATTTGAAGAAACTCAGGGAAGGATAAGTACAAGTTTTAGCTCCACTGGGAGAAAGAAAAATGTCAGCAGCTCTGCCAGTGTGGTTGATGGGGGCTCCAGGTCCTGCCTTTCCCTGCAGCCACCCACCTGCAGCTGTGGGGTGGCTGGTCTCATGTCTGGGTATACAGTCTCTGGGCAGAGACAGGCAGGCAAGTGAGCTGTGTGCAGGGCAGGCTTGCTGTGTTCCCGCAGGCGGGCATGGTCTGTTACCACTGCTTTTTGAATCTACTGGTGTTGACAGCTCTGTCTGTGCCATCAGTAGTGGCTGCGACTTGTGTTGGTGTGACACAGTTTAAACTCCAGCTGACCTCCAAAGACAGAGGCTCCTTGCCCTTGCTGCTCATATTAAACTCCCTGTGCAAGTATAATTGGAGGATGTCTCAGCAATACAGTAGATACTTTTTCCCCCAATTACTTTAGTAGGCTGTAGGCTGTGAGTAGTAAATATATTCAGCCTAAAGCAGAATGAATGAAATCCATTTTACAGTGCATTCTCTCACAATGTCTGGGGTGTGGGACTGTGGGGAAAGTGCCTGAGCATCCTGGCACTGTGGGGAGAAAGCAAACACTCTGGGTGCCTGGTGACCAAGCAAAGGGTTGCCAGCATCCCTGCAGTGGTGCTGGTGTGATACCCTTGAAGAGCCTTGCTGGAGCCTGTCTCACCTGGCGCATATCTTTCTTCTGCCATGAGGGCAGGGCACCTTTGGCTTGTCTTCCCCATGGCCCCAGACTCTTTTCTGTTCCTTCCCTTCCCTAACCAGCTCCTTGCCCTTGTTTCAGAGCTGCCTGAGGATGCATCGCCTCTTGTCTCAGATATTTCAGGGGTGCTGGGAACCCGCCTTGCTGTGCCTGTTCCACCCTGCTGGGCTCCGGACTTGACACCTCTGTGCCCTCTTCTGGCAGGATGGCCCAAGCAGGGGCACCTGTCCGCTTCCACCCCGAGGAGGGCTGCACTGCCTCTCCCCCGTCCTTTGCCCACAGGGTGAACCGGAGGCCCTGGCTGGCTGGGGGAAGCCCCGAGGCTGGGCGGTGCAGCCCCCCACTCTGCCTCAGCCCCAACCTCAACGCCGGCCGCCTGCACCTGCTGCGCAAGGGCCTGGCGCCCGATGTCCGCCGCTGCCCGCTCGGCCTCTACAACAGCACTGGCTCCTTGGCCCGCAGGCCGGCTGAGGCAGCGCCCTTCGGCAGCGGGAGCTGCCCGGGCACGGGGCGACTGACTGCCCCCTGCACCCCACGGTGGGGCCGGCCCAGCCCGGCTGCCGCCTCTCTGGGCAGCCGCAGTCCGCCAGCCCCAGAGGGACACAGCTCTGTGGTCACCTTCCGCTTCATTGAGAAGGCCAGTGTGCGGACACTGGGCTGCCCGACAACGCCCCATCTCCGCTGGGAGAATGGCCCCTACAGCCTCAGCCGCAGTCTGGAGCTCGGTGGGGACGTGGGATCCTTCCAGCCCCAGCCCCTGCCTCAGGAGCGGCTCCTGCAGACGCTGAAGCTGGAGGCCTCCGCATCTGACCCGCTTCTGGCCGGGGCCAGGACTGCAGGGGGGACACGTCCCTGTGGGAAGGAGTTCTGTGCCCTTGACACCAGCTGCCTCTGCCGATCCCTAACCAATGGGCTGCCAGAGGAGTTCCCCACCTTCGCCAGGAGTCCCCTGAAGCCAGAGCCCCGACATCAGGTAGGTACCAGGGTCTGCCGCACTGGGCATGGGCTCTGCCCTGGGGATGCATTGTCCACACCTTGCTCTCCTCTCTGCAGGGCAGCGCCGGGCTGTATCCCCGGCAGAGCTCTGCCCATGCCCAGCGCATCGCCAAGGCCAAGTGGGAATTCTTCTACGGCTCCTCAGATACCCCAAAGACAGGTAAGAAGTAACAGATGGATGCCACCAGGTTGGCCCACCCCTCCTTTTGTGTCTGTATTGTTGGAAGGACTCGCCCTGGGGCTGCCTGCCCATCCCTTGAGTTTTCTCAGTGCCCAACAAAGACCTGAGATTCCCCCAAGACTGGCCAGCCTCCTGGAGTCAGATCATGCATGTACCAACCTCCCTGCAAAGTCCCCTGTGGCCATGCAAAAGAGGTGGCAAAGAGCCCCTGGCTGCCTCTGCAGAAGAGCTTTTGGGTTTACATGGGGTCTCAGGGCTGGCTGGAGATGCACTAGCACTGACAGCCTGTCTCTGCCTCTCGCACTCCTTCTGCCACCTCTTCACTGTTCCCCTGTGTCCCTCAACACGGTAGAGTCACTGTTCCTGGAGGTGTTCAAGAAACCACTGGAATGGCACTTAGTGCTATGGCTTTGTTGACATGGTGGTGTTTGGTCAAAGGTTGGATTTGACGATCTTGGAGGTCTTTTCCAAGCTTAATGATTCCATGACATGTGACCACACTCTCAGGGGCGTGTGTGTGTGTGAGTGTGGGTGTGTGTGTGATGCTGCAGGAGCGGCTCCTCAGAGCTCCCCATTGCAGCTCCCCATAGCTCTGAATGCTTGGGCCTTCCTTGCAGGCTCCTCTGCCCCCGACTCTGCTCTCCTGGCTGAACTCCCCCAGAAGTCTGTCTCCCCACTGCCAGCCGAGCCACCGGGGCTGGTACCTGAGCACAGCCTGAGCCATGTGGAGGTGGAGATAGAAGTGTCTCCTTTGAGCAGCCAGAAGCCTGGCTCCTGTGAAACTGGGATTATAAGGAGGACAGTGAAGTACTCTGAAACAGACCTGGACACTGTGCCACTGAGGTGCTATCGTGAAACCAACATCGATGATATCCTGGCCGAGAAGGAGGAGGTGGATTCAGCAATTGAGAGCCAGAAGGACAGTGAGAGCAACCCAAGTTTTGTGGGTACACCAGGCAGGAGGAACAGCACACCAGAGGAGCCACCTGCTCCAGGTACCGGCTGCTCCAAGGATGGGCTGCAAGACAGGGGTGTGGACGAGGACGATGAGGTCTTTGAGGCGATGAGGAAGGAAAACAGGGAAAGGTGAGGCTCTGTGTGCAAAGGCAAAAAGCTCCTGTCACCCTCATTATTGTACCCTGCATGCCAAAACAAGCTCTGCTGAAGTGTCTGAGCCAAAATCCCAGTAGCAACATGCAAGCTGTGTGTGAGGGTGAGAAGGGGTCCTGGATCACACCACAGGGATTGGTGCTGGGGCTGGGGCAGGACTGGGAAGGGGCCCTCACTGCCCTATGGAAAGAGTAAGCCAGCACAGGGGGATCCAGCTCTGGGCACTGTGCCACAGGCCCCACTCACCTGGGGTGAGCCTGCAGCCCAGCTGAGCCGAGGCTTCCCAGCATGAGTCCTGCCAGGTCAACTACATCCTGCCATGCTCCTGCCAGGTGTTGGGGTGACAGTGCCAGGACAGCAGTGGACAGGTCGTGTCCTGAAGCTACTCTGGGCTGCCAGGTGCTGCTGGGCTGTCCCTCTCCCCACAGATGACTGCTTCAGCAGCGGGAGCAGACCATTTGCTCAGCCTCATTAAGTATTTGCCATTTTCAGGAAAGCGTAGGGGATACATTGGGATCAAAAAAGCATTTTGTTGCCTTATGTGTCATTTTTCACCTGTGTGGCAAAACACCCTGTGCTGGGAGGCTGATGGAGTGGGTGGCACGAAGATTATCATTCAGTTGCCTGCCCATGGGCAGCATGTGTGCTCCCGGCTGTGGTCTGCCCCGTGCCAGACACTGGCAATTAGCACATATGGGAGATGGCATTTTGGCTTGGTGGCATGAAACTCTGCCCATGGAGTTTCAGCTGGAGTGGTAGTTTGACCATGAGAAGTGATGGGCATCATCAGGTCCAGAGCACTGTGTGAGACAGCCACCTGAAGGGGAAAGGCCCTGTGCAGGAATGTTCTGATGTGCGTATTGTCAAGTGAGTCAATTGAGTGAGGTGAGGAGGATCAGCATCATCAGCAAATGCTCCATAGGAGTAGGGACAGGTCTCATCTGGGAAGCACAAAACTAGGGTGATGCCTGGAATGCCACGTGGCAGCATGAACTCACCTGGCTGTGCAGAAGGTAGGTGGGGAGCATTTAGGTGGAAGGAAAAGGGAGGTTTTGATGTCAGCAGAAGTTAAAAATAATGAAATACATATATTAATAATGCATTAATACAGAAGTGCCCCTGCACTGGGAAGGAAAAGAATGAAAGTGCTGAGCTAACAAGGAGGGAGTGCATTTCAAGGGGAGCTGAACTCCTGTCAGTTTGTCCAGACCTTGCATCTCTATTGGAGGGGACAAATACATGCCAGCGACCCTGTCCTCAAAAATTTGGGTTCTAGAGAAAAGCTGAAAATAAGCCATTTGTAGTGTGGGGTTTTTTTTCCCAAAGGAATGTTTGAGTGAGGTGTAAAGTTAGTGCAAGTTCTTCAATTTGCTGTAACAGTTTTTTGCAGTGTTATTTTGTTTCCAAATATCTTTGAGGCCACTGTGAGTTTTATGAGTTGTTTTTTTGTCCTCTGAGACACCCTACTGTAGCTCCCCAGCCAGTGCTGAAAGCTTGGATGTGGTCTTAAAGAACCACTGTTGCTCCTAAAAGATGGTGCTCCCAGTACAGTTACCAATGTGTGTAATGCAGGGGTGTCATGTTCATTTGGCATGGCTTCTTTGTAGACCAGTAGTTTTTTTCCCCTGCAACCCCCTGAATATTCCCCTGATAAGTGCAGACCCTGTAGACATTGTCTTGAAAACCACAAGGCTCAAACTGCAAGCTTGTTCAGTCCCTGCATCACAGCCCTGGGTTTTTGCTTACACAGTGTTTTGAGCTCTGCAGCTGCAGTCCTTATCCCTGTTTACCAGCCACCAGTATTGATGTTTTCTTCTTCAAGCTTTCTGCTTTGCCTGCTCACAGGAAGGGTGAAGTTGGGGGATGAAGAAGCCACCCTGGCTTCCTGGACCTGGAATCATTCTGCTGCTGCAGGAGCTGCTGAACCCCATGCCTATCCTGATTCCTGGGAAGGACTAGCCCTAAAAAACCAATGAAGTGCTTTTTGATGCTGGTTTTCAGCTTTTAGACATATACATCCCTTTGAAAATCTAGCCTTAAGGGTTTAGCACCCTCTGCAAGGGGGCCTTTGGCTTGGTACTACCTTGTGCTTCATATTCTGGCCAAAATTCAGAATCTTCTTTTGTGATTTACCATCCAAAATAAGAGAGCATGCTAACAGAAAAAAAAAAAAAAATCTACACCAAATCAAACAAGACATGAAAAGTGATGGAAGAAATGTGTTCTTCCAGCAAATGTTCTTCCTGAATATATTCAGAGTTATGTCTACTGACTGTAATGACTAGTCTAAGCCTTTACTGTCTTTGTTCCTATTAGTGCAAGATAGCTGAGACCTGTCAGTGAGAGCAGGCTCAATTCCCTTCCTCCCTGAGCGTCAGCAGACATGCTGGCTAAGCTGTAGGAAGCTGGTTTGGCCCTCAGCATGGGTGCCTTGGGCTGATAAGAGAGAAGAGGCTTTGCTAGGGAATGCCCTGCTCCCCCGAGAGCACAAAGGGCTGATGGGAGGCAGTGATGCCTTTTCTCCCTGCAAGCCTTGCCTAGAAAAGCCCTTAGATATGCTGCTTGGGAAGCCTTTCCAGAGCCTTTGTGCTTGCTGCCTGTTGGCAGGAAAGTAGCCACAGGGCAAGCCTTGTTGGGGATTAGAAAAATGGTTATGGTCTCAATTTCATCAAATGCTTAAGCATGTGCTTAACCTGCATCAAGCCTCTGATGTGTTGTGCGAGAGCCCAAAGTGGCCACAGAGGCACAGCTCGGGGTGATGCTGGCAGGGGCCTGTCAATGAGCAGGGGAGGTGCCTGCAGCTCTTGTGGGTGAGCAGGGGACAGCATGACGGCGTGGTGTGGCAGCGGGGTGTGGACAGTCGGGGAGACTGCAGTGCCTGTGGTCAGTACCTGTGCCTAAGCATGGGACAGAGGGAGGACACTAAGAGCAGGCTGCTGCCATGCTGCAGGAGTAGTGCAAAGGAGCCTGGGGGGACTGCAAGGAGCTGCTGAGACAGGTCTGTACAAGAGCTTTGTTGAAAGAGGAATAAAGCTAGGGGCTGCTGGAAGGTGCTGAACAGTCTCACTTTCCTTGAACTGAGCTGGGACCCTCACACAGCAATGTACCTGTGCAGGCTGGAGCAGCCTGGAGCTGGAGGAGTGGGGCGTGGCTGAGTCAGGGGTCTGCAGGGTCACAGGAGCATTTAGCAGAGACTTATAACCACTGAGGGCCAGAGGAGAGATTTTCCCCTCCTCTTCCCCCCTGCCGAGGATGGCATGCCTCTGCAGCACCATGTGTCTGCAGGCAGGGAGAGTGGGGTGAGCCCCTTCCCCTCCATCAGCCATTAGATACATCAGAAACCCAGCTGCTCAGATCCCATACCTAGAGCCCTGCCTGAGGCGCTGTTGGCTCCTGGATCCGCTTCCCTTCCCCGTCTGCCTGGCCCTCTCCTAAGGAAGGCTCGCTGCCTTGCCTGCACTAACTCAAGGCTGGAAACCTATTTGCTTCCTGCTGCCTGTCTCCCTTGCACAGATGCTTGATTACAGCTTCTGCATCTCCTCTCCTCTGCTCCTCTCAGCTGGGTTTGTCTGGCTTAGTCTCAGTGCAATGATCCTTTCTAGGGGACCAGGGCAGAGCATGGAGAAGCTGGGCAGCACAGTAGGGGCTAATGGAGCATCTGGGTCTGAGCAGGCAATATTGCTCCCATGCTGCTGTAGCTACATCCTTGAACTGAATGGCTTTGTACTTGATATTTTGGGGTGAAAACATTGTTTCCAGAGCTTATATGGTATGGACAAAACCAGCCATGGTTTTTCTGTGGCTTGGTGGCAATATACTTGATCACAAAAATGAGCCCACCTACCTCTCCTGGAAGCCAGATACCTTCCAATCTGCTGGTATTGTCCTCCCTGGCACAGTTTTCGCCCTCCTCATGGATTCAAGGTGCAAAATTATCAATAGCGTTAGCTTGGTTTAATCACATGGGGCTGGGCAGGAAGGATGGAGAATGCACATTTGCATCTGTAAAGCACATCTGCAGATATTAAAGAGGTCTCTTCTGCCTTGTCCTCACCAAAAGCCACTTCAGAAGTGGCTGCTCCTGGGGCTCCTACAGGAATTGTAAGTATCACGTGGTGCTGCACAGCCAGGGAAACACTGGTGGATGGGTGAGATCAGCCTGCACCCTGCCTTTCTTACCTGTCTGGCTTCACAGCACTCCTCTTGAAACCAGCTGGCACTCTGGGGGAGTCAAGCTGCCAGCTCTTGGCCTACTGAAGTAATTGGGGTGAGATTATTGAGTGGCATGTGAAGGCTAATGAATGAAAATAATTTGGTGTGTGTTACAGCAACGCATCTTCTGAGCCCTCTGTAGGAATCTGTTTGTTCATAACAAATGTTATGACAGGCTGGAGCAGTTCCTCTCCTTTAATCAGAGGAGAGAGTGGCATAAGAAGTGCTTTTCTGCTGCTTTAATAAAATGATAGCAGATGATGAGTAAAGTAGGCTTTTAGGGCTGTGTTTGTGCTTGTACTGCTGAAGCACTGATGTTCCCTGGGTTGGAAACATCCGTGTTGTCACGTGCTTAGGTAGATGGGCAGGCTGTACTTCACCTCATTTACAGGACAAAACACTCAGGGCTTCAGGGTTTAGAAACTTCTGTGTTGGGCAGGACCCAGACCAGCACTGGAAACAGGCTGGACCTTTCTGTGGGGCTGATCCCTGGCAAGATGATGAGCTAGGACCAATCATGGCCTCCAGGGCATGGGTGAGCTCAGATCCCCAAGCCCAGAGATGGGTGTGAGGCTCCCTGTGTGCTGTCTGGGGAAACCTATCACTGTGTGCTCAGTCACACATGTCTCCTGGGACTCAACATCACCTTGTGGAAACAGCCAGCAGACCTTGCAGGCGAGTGTTGGTCATGCTCTGAGCACAGTACTCAGTGACCACAGGGCAGTGTTCATGGAGGAAGGTGCCATGCTGTCCTGAGCAGCTTGAGGAGGAGCCTTCTTGGTGATAGAAGGTTCATGAAGGCTCATGAAAAATTCAGCCACTTCCAGATTTGGTTGGAAATGGAGCTGAACCACATCCTGCTTCTAGTACTTGAGCCCTTTATTGGATCTTAGCTCAAGTCAAGTGATTGGGAACAGTAGCCATCTCATAAGCTTCTTATGAGGATGAGCCACTAAAGGAACAAAAGTCTGTGAATGTATTAAAGGAGAAGCATATGTCTGGAGGGAGGCCAGTCCAGTCCTGCTTCCCATCGTCTTGGGCAGGCGAGGCATTTCCTTGGTGTTCTGCAGATGTTCAGAAGAGATTTCTACCCTTCTCAGTTTCCTTCTGAAGCACTGTGTGGGCTTTTGTTTTGGGGTTTTGATCCCTTGCTCTTCAATGATCAGTTCTTCTCACTTTCTTTCCCTCTAGGATCATGGACCGAGACACACAGGGTATGCTCAAGTCTCCGGTGCCCTTCCTTCTAGGGCACAGCCTCTCCAAGGATGGCATGGACTCTTTCAGCAAGCATTTTGAGACCATCATGGAGTCCCATCGAGCCAAAGGCACATCTTACACCAGCCTGGACTCCATTGACATACTTTCTTCCCCAGCCCGTACCCATGGGACCTTTTTCACTTTTGACATCCCAACCCTCACCCCAGATATACAGGGAAAAATCCGAGACAGCGCCAAGGTGATCGAGGAGAGCTTTGCCCCTCTGGCTCACTTAGAGCCAGACTCTGGGACCAGTTCAGCCACAGATGCCCCCTGGACAGAGAGGGAGGAGGAACAGGGGAGACGAAGGAAGGGCATTCGGCACAGCCCTTGCCACTCAGAGGACAGCTTTGGCACTCCCTTGGCCTCCAACACAAGGTGAGTGACCAAAGTTGCTTGCTGTCCAGCTGGGCCACTAAGGCTTGATGTGGAATCTGATGCTATGAGTTCTGGTTTGCAGCCAGAGCCTAACTTGTGTTGCTTGGGAAGGGTCAGGACTAGAAAATCTAGATGTGCTAGATTTTCTAGGCAGTGGCTGATCAGGCCAGTGATCACCATGGTATTGTGGTAGGTGTGTTGATGGGAGCACAACTCCTTTTTCATCTTTGCCAGCTTTGTAGGTACTGGACTGTGAGGTTTCCTTCAGCCAATCAAGCAGGGAATGCCGGAACTTCAATCCTGTGGTGGTTTTCATTGCAAAGCAGTTCGGTATCTGTGATTGTCTGGGAAGAGGCCAGTCTGAAGTTGACTACCAGTAGAAATTTGACAATGTTTCCATACTGTGTACTTCGTTCCTTGCCATCTGCACTGCAGACACTTGTTTCTTAAAGGCAGGAGCCCCATGGTCTTGTGCCTATTGTTCTGGCTTCCTGAACCTACTCAGCCTTGGTTTTTTTTTTTTTTTTTTTTTTGTTAGAAGATGGAGGGATGAGCATCCTGAAACCCTCATCCACTTTCCAGGCTTTGGTGTTTTCCATATCAAACCTATGTCACTTCTACTCACAGTCTGTGCCGTCTCTGTAGGCTCAGCTTGGGGTGGCCATGTGGAGATCTAAGCTCTGTGTCTTTTCTGGTGTCTGCAGTCAAGAGAGGAGGGTGAGGTATTGCATCAGCTCTGTGGCCCTTGAGTCAGTCCAAGGGCCTTTTGGGGCAGAGAGGAGCTGGGTTAGGCCTTCCCTACCTTTGGGACTCTGAAGCCAGAGACATGGTAGCACAGAGGCCTGACAAAATTTGTGCAGTAAAACTGGTCATGTCTGGGAGGCACATGGCAGGGAAGGGTGACAGTATCCAGCCATGATCAGTGCTCTCTGCAGGAAGAATTGGCTTCCTATTGCTGTGCCAAGGCAAGAGACTGAAACACAGCACCCTGGGGAAACGAAAAGGACAGTATCTGACTAACTGTCCATGGGATGCCATTGTACCACAGCACGGCAGTGCAGGGGCACAGGCAAATGCAGGGTGCAGAGACACAGCTGGCAGCAGGAGCAGCAATGAGGTGGCTTAACAGAGATTATTCCTCACTGGTTTATAGTCAGTGGAGCACAGAGCATGCTGGCAGTGCCGAGGACACTGCGGCGCTGTTCTCCCCTCCTAGCTCAGGTTTCAGAGCAGTGCTGGCCTGCAACACAGGCCATGGAAGAATGTTGTGTATCCCTCAAGCTGCCCTAGATCTTTGCTGAGTCTCTTGTCATCTCCTGTTTTGGCAGGAGTACCTCTGATTTGGTGACAGAGGAGCACAGGGAAAATGCAGCTGCAGTCCCCACTGTGCTCCCTGGCCTGGGGACCCCAAGGTCTGGGCTTCCCATAGCACCACAACTGCCAGCCTCACCTTCTGCACAGTCCCAAGCAGCTGCCTTTCCCTGCTTGGAAACTATTCCCTTGGTTATCACTAGGCCCCTGCACAGCACTTTTTTTTGTCCAGCTCAGACCCTGTTTCTTGCCCACGTCCTGGACTGTTCTGATCTGCCATGCTGCCCTGCAGCAGGTGAGCAGGTGCCCTGGCTCCAGTGGTGGCCTGGAGCAGAGACTGCAGGAAAGACAGTGAGAAAGGAGGTGTGGAGGAGCAGGGCCCTGCTGCAAGCCCTCAGCAGGCAGCAGTCCAGCTCTTTGCTCCCCAGCATGGAGTGAGCCTCCCCTCACAGTCCCACAGGCAACAGGGGACAGAGAGGCAGGTGTGGTTGGAATCTGCCATCTGGTGCAGTGGAAAGGAGTGGAGACTGGGGCTGGGAGCAGGAACTGGGTTGGGAAGCAGCAAAGGCATGTGGGACCAGGGTCTGAGACAGCCCATCATCTGCAGGATCAGTCCTCAGGAGGCCAGGGTTTCTGGCAAGGGAGAGATCCAAGAAGTTTCCTCTTCCCGATCACTGGTGCAACCAACTTTCTAGACTCTCAGTGGAGCTGACCATGAAGCTGGAGAGTCCCTTGTAGTTTGAGGAAGAAGTGGCTGGGCTGATTGCACAAAGGTTCTCAAGAACTGGAACCAGTAGATCCTGATACCTGGCAGGGCTGATCTGATCAAGCAGAGCTTATCCTTGTAATTCTCCCACTAAGGGGTATTCAATGGAAATTGGTGAGGAAAGGGGTTAAGGAACCTCTGCAGTCACTATAGTGCATCATCACCTGTGCCAGCAGGGCCAGAGCAAGGCATTCACCACTGTCTGTGGTCACAAGCAGTACAGGCTGACTGCCACCAGCACTGGTAGACTGGGGACCCCTGGCAGGGGGACTCTGCGCTGGAGACTGTGCTTTACATTGTCTGTCAGTCTCAGGGTTGGCAGAGGTGACCCCAGGCTTCAGGGCTGATGAACACCAGTGGGTCTACACCTGCGTGTGCTGCCCTGTGACTGTCCTCCTTGTGTCCCCGAAAGCTTTGCTGCTAACTGTTGCAATAGTTGGGGCCGGGATCCAGGTCAGAGACAGCCTTGCAGCCTGTGACGTCCCACCTCCCTCAGCGGCAGGAATGGACAACCAGTGATGCCCCTGCATTGCTGGGGACATATGGTAACCCCACAGCCAGTGGGGTCATGCATGGCCTTGGGTCATGCAGCCTTGTTCTTTACACCAAGGCTCTGGTGTACCTCAGCACATAATAGTTAAGACCATGTTTTTATCTTGACCTTGTATGTGGGAAGTATGTCTAAGTGCAGACATACAAAGGCCTCCCCTGGGATGCCTGCACCTACTCCAGCAGACTTAATTGAAAGGGATGGAGCAGAGACTGAACCCCCCCCCTGCCCTTCCCACAGCAGGGCACCCAACAGTGACATCTCCAGCATAGGCTCTGTGAGTAGGTTACCACCCGATTTGGGCAGGAGGTGAAAGTGTGCAGGTCCCTTGCTCTCACTGGGCAGAGAGCTGCAGTTAAAGCAAGTTGTCCCTGTGGCTGTGACAGATCTCTGCAGAGTGTATGTGGAGGCAGAGCTCCCCAGGGCTAGGGAGTCCTTCGGACCCAGGGAAGCCAGCCAGGGACGGATGCAGTGCTGGCAAGATGGTGGGGCAGGAGCTCGGGCAGCCCTGGGAGATTACAGGGAGATTATTTCAGTGGCAACAGCCAGACTTCTGCAACTGCAGGTCCAAATTGCAGGACTTGGCCAAGCTGCTGGTGCAAGCAGGTGTCCAGAGGGTCACTTGGCTGGCCCAGTCCTATACAGGTAGGCACTGTGGGCTGTGGGGCATCAGCCCTGGAGGAATGTAAATGGGGAACCTGCATCTCTCTGGGGGTGCAAGACCCCTGAAATCCAGCTGCCCAGCTTCCCTGCAATCCCACTCTTCTGGAGCCAGCCTTGGCCTCGGGCACAGTCGTGCCGGACCCTGAGGTTTATCCGCGGAGGGAAGAGACGTGGCTTCGCCCCCCGAGCGAGTCAGTTCTGCTGGAACCTCATCGGGGCTTGCCTGCGGTGGGACAGAAAGAAGGGTAGGCGGGAGAGGCAACCTCAAAGGTGGGGATGCAAACGGTAGGTGAAAATGGCCAGACAGCACGGCGAGGGCAGCACGCCTGGAGCCTCGCTAGAGGGAGAGCTCAGCCCTGCAGCTGCGGCTGTGTGGGAGGAGCGGGGAGCCCGTGGGGCTGGCAGCCGCCCCGGGCGGAGGATGCGCCGGCAGCCGGAGCTGCGTCCCTGCCGGAGCGCGGCTGCTGGCGTGTGCTGGAGCACGGGCCTGCCAGCCAGCTCCGCTGCCTTTCTTTATAAGGTTCCTTTTGTTACTGCAGCCGTCGGGGAGCCGCTGCCCCTCCCCTCCCAGGGCCAGCGCAGGTCTCAGCTGACCTGAGCCCCCAGGTAGCACTGGGCAAACTGGTGAGGATGCCGTGAAGGCTGTGACCAGTTTGGGGCCCCGTGGGGTGGATTCGGGCTGTGATGCAGGAGATTGAGGCTGAGAGCTGAGCAGAGGAAGGTGGACCTTGAGGAAAGGATGAAGATAGGGTAAGGGAGGTATGGGTTGGCTGGGGTGACAGCACAGTAGGGAGACAAGGCGCAGGATGAAGAAGTCTCCCCACAGGCCTTGACACAGCAAGAAATAAAGGACAAACCTGGGGGGAATTTCCCCCTATGCAAGCCATGTCAAGCCACGAAGAGCAGTAGAAGCCAGGACATAGAACACATCAGCCCACCACGGCATAAATGGCAGTGGATCCCAGGGATGGCAGGTCTGCCTGCAGAGGCATGAGCAGCAGCACATACCTGTGGGATGCAGCCCCATGTGTCAGGCATTAATTCCAGCTCTCAGATCTGACTCAGAGCCCCTAGGCTGCTCTTGGCCCAAGGGTCCAAGACACCCGGGTTTTCCTGTGCTGACTCTATGGCATCTGTGTCTTGAAGGAGAAGACCAACCTTCATCCAGCAGGTGAGTAACTGGATATTTAAGGCTCTCGGCTGGCACCAGAAATTGTTTGGTGGGATTTTAGTGTCAGTCCCTGTCCTCTACAGGAGCAGTTGTGTCCCTCACAAGAAGAGCTGGTGGGATGGGGTGATGGAGGACAAATAGACATCTCCAGAGATTGCTGGTGCTGCAGGGGAGGTTCTGGAAGTCTGCAGAGAAACAAGACTGGGGAGGGGCACAGCTTCCCAAAGTTCAGTCCTATCTGGATCTGTCAGCAGTAACGCTGGTGGGTGCTGCTGTGGCTGGGTGACTGTTGGACTCCAGAGCTGCCAGAAAGCACAACCCGCCGTGCCTGTGGTTGGAGGCTGGTTTAGCTGACCTTCAAGTGTCCTCCCAGCCCTAACTTCAATTCTGTGAGGAATGAACTGGCCCAGATTTTTGCTGTCATAAATCAAAGTCGTTCCACTGAGACCGATGGAGGGAGCTGCGTTTATTTAGCTCAGCCAAAGATCCGGTCTGGTACATTCTTAGCAGCAACATTAAGCAGGCTTGGTTTGCTTGGCAGAGGCAATCTAGCTATGCACATGGGCCTTCCAGAATTGAGGGGAGTGCTATTTTGCCCCATGACCTGTTCCTTGTGGATTTGCACCAGGCTCCTTACTATGGTTTAGGGTGAAACCAGCTTCATGTGGAGAGCAAGAGGTACTTGAATTGTGTTTAAAGGTCTGGAGTTTATTGCAGCAGGTGTCTTGCCTGGAGCTGTGTCAGGATGGACCTGGACAGCCCAGGAGCTCAGCTGAGCACACCCCAGCTCCTGAGGAACAGGTTGTTGCTGCAGGAAGGATCCCACCATGCAGATATGCCTCAGCTGGCATCTGGGAGGTGGAGGTCAGCCCCTTGGGCCTGGCTTTGCAGAACTAGTGCCTTCTTGCTGCTCCACATCCCAGAGAGAATATTTGCTCCTGGTTGCTGGAAAACCAAGTGAACATGGTGCCAAATAAGCTTGGTTGTTGGTGGCAAGGTGGAGAGGATGCCAGGACTTCTGCACTGACACTCTGCATTGCAGCCAGGGAAGGTGCTGTGGTCTCTGCTTCTGGGCTCCAGGCAGTTGGCTAGAGGAGGAATATTGGGAGCAGATGATCCAGCTCCAGGAAATTAGTGTTTGGCCCAGAGAAGGAACATTTGGGCCCTGGAGAACCATCTGACCTAGAAGAAGCAGTGTGTTTGGTACGGTGGCCCTGATCAGGACCATGATTCTGCAGCAGCTTTCCAAGGCAGGGAGCACAAGTCCTTCTGCTGAGCTGGGGTGGGAAGTGGTCAGTGAAGAGCCTCTGTCACAGGGTGAGCCCTGAGCCCTGTGCTGGATGACATGCCCTCCTTGCAGAGACCCCCAGGTGTGCCTCACTGCAGCACTCTGGGCTCTAGGAAACACCTCTGAGGTGACAGGGGGACCTGTGCTCCCAATGACGTGAGTGGTGACAGCAGAGAGGGATGAGCTAGCACTCATACTGTGTCTGCTCAGGAGTGACTTATTTCATGTACACTGAGGATACTTGCACAATATCAAATTTGATCTTTATTCCTTAAGTGTGTATTTAATGTAAAAAATATTATCTCAGTGTTTCTTCAAGCCAAACTAAAATGTCACTTTACTAAACACACCAAAAAAGCCTTACCCTGAAACCTGCAATTAGCTCATTGGTGAGGAAATTAGCATAATCTCAATTACCTCAGACATGGACATGTCTCTTGCTCTGCTCTCTATTTGCTTGAGAATTGGGCTCTTGTTTTTCTGTCTTTAAGCTGCATGTTCTCCAAGCCAATTGTGGTTTTGAGTGGTGGCAGACAGGTACCACAAAGGGGGCATACTGAGCCCACAGAGGCTGACTGGCCATATTTAACTGCATGAGAATGGCTTGAGTGCTAGAAAAAAACCCATTTTACGGCATGGTTGAATAGTGCCTCATCCTGAGAGCAAGGTTATGCTGTGCTGTAAAACACCAGATCAGTGCTGGAACTTGGTGAGTGAGGGAGAAGCAAATTCCACTGGTAGAGCTACTTTGAGACTCAAGGTTTGAGATCCCTGCATGCCCATTGCAAGAAGCAAGGCAGGGATTGTAGTCACAGGTTGGGGCCCTCCAGGAAGATACAGGTATTGAAGGACAAGAGAGATTTTTTAAGTGGCCCCATACCTGGGTGCTCAGCACTAGGTACAAAGCTGAGGACCATAGATTAGGAAGAGAGGTCACAGCGGGAGATTTGGAGCTCTAGGTTTGTCCCTGGATGCTCCAGAAACTGGCCATGTGAGGGAGGACAACCTCTCAGGCAGGATAGATGAGATCCAGAAGTATATCAGGAGTGTTAGGGATGGTGCAGGGAAGAATTAAAATATTTTGAGAGGGTGACTGAGCAGAAACTTGCTCTGGGGATGTAGTTGGACCATGGAAAGTGTTAGAGGGTGGCTTTGCATTTTGTAGCTCAGACTGTGGCTGGAAAAGCACCCTTGGGATTTCTGGGCAGCAAAGGGAACAGTGCTGTGCCCTTGTGATAACAGATAAAGATTTTAGCAAAAAAACACAGTCACCACAACGCATGGCTAGCAGGTGCCAGCTGCTGGGATGGATTAATGTCCTCTGCCTCTGGGAATCAAAGAGCCTGTGACCTCTGTCCTTGGCTGAGGTCACAGTGACTGCTGCCACACAAGGAGCTGAAGTGGGACCCAGGTGTGTGCCCAGCACTGGCCCAGCAGCAGCCAGCCTGTTCTGCTGTCGGGCACCCCTCAGAGCAGCTGTGACCGTGCCAGACAGTGAAGGCACAGTCAGGCACCAGGGCCCATGCCAGCAGCGCCTTTGGATGTGGCTGTTTTGGGAGGAGATGAGCTTTTAGGCAGGTGGGAGATTTGCCTACAGTATGGGGTGTGCTCATGGTGCAGACTGTGATGCTGGAAGCTGCCTGTCCAGCTCCCCAGAGCTGGTGGAGTCAGATCTGGTGAGCTCAGGGTGACCTTGTGACCACTCTTGTGGCTGCTTCCACCAGGGTGCATTGGAGTGATGGATAGTCTCCCTGGGGAGGACTGGAGCCAAGTGGGCACGTATCTGCCTTGGCCTCCCATCCAGGTCTTACCACAATCACCCCCTGGTACCACTGAGTTCAGCACTGGTCTGAGCAAAGCACATCTCTCCCAGGACTTGCACCATGGAACTGTCTGACCCACAGGTTTGAGTGCAGAGCAGCTTCTCCTGCTGCATGCTGGCTGGGGGTGACAGGAAGGTGGAGAGGATGGCACCTGAGAGCCCCCGAGGCGTGAGGCAGCCTCTGTGTTGCCAGTGTTGTGCAGGGCTCCCCTGGGACAGGCAGGACTGAGCAGGAGGAGGCTCATCCTTGAAAAAAGCAAGCCTCAAGGAGATTGGCCTGGGTAATTGGCTCAGGAGAGCAGGCCTCTTAAAACTCAATTAGAGACTTTTAAAAATAAATCAGACTGGAACATTGTAAGTGCTGCCAGAAAATTTGGGCGAGGTCAGAGTTGCTTAACATTTGTTGTTGATTAGATTCAACCAGCTTTTGGTTGGGATAACTTCTGCGCAGCTGAGTCAGATTGCTTTGGGGGCCAAGCCAAGAGTGTCTCCTAACATGGCCATTTAAGGCGTGGTGGGCTGAGAGCTGATGGGCAGCCTGGAGAAGACTGCACTCCACTGCGAGCTGGGAGGCCAGGGGGGTTTTCCTTCCTCCTCATGTTCTCTGCCTCATCTCTGCCATCTGTGTAGTGCTTTGAAATCAGTGGGTGGGCAAAGGTGAATGAAGGAATTGGAGTTGTCTTGTCTTGGATAGAAACTGCACTTGAGAGCAGCACGAGGAGTTTGTCCAGATTAAAAAATGAGTACAGAGCTGTAGGACGGCATGTGATGTTGCACATGTTTCTGCTCCAAGTCTCTGCTGCAGCTGAGCTTGGCAGAGCCTAAGCCCACACATACAGTTTCACAGGTTCAAAGTGGGGGACTTTGGAGTAGTTGTCCTTTCCTTCCACATCCAGTATGAATGTTGTTTGAGTGCCTTGGTCCAGTCAGTCACTGGTGCTGTTCCATCACCCCACCCCTCCTCCCAAACCTGCATTCCTACACCTTCCCTTAGCTCCCTTAGCTGACCTCAGAGTGTCTCTGACCAGTGCAGTTCATCCTGGGTCCCAGCAGTGAGTAGCTAGTCTCCAAAGCAGGGTGGGGAACATGCATTTCCTGAGAAGCTGAATAAGGAGGGGATCTGCAGGCAGGCTAACGTGGAGTGTCCCTTCCCATTGCAGTGACCGCCCCCAGAGCCAGCTGGTTTCAGACTCAGAGTCAGAGATGGACAGTGTGGAGCAGCTGGCCCTGGGCAGCACGGACACCCTTTCCAATGGACACAAGGCTGACCTGGAGGCTGCCAAACGCCTGGCCAAGAGGCTCTACAACCTGGATGGCTTTAAAAAAGCAGATGTGGCTCGCCACCTGGGAAAGAAGTACGTGTGGGTATTTGGAAGGAATGTTCCATTCTGCAAGGAGCTCACTTGCAGTGCACCTGCAGCTGCTGCCCTTGTGGGGCACCAGGCTGGCAAGGAACTGCTGGCAGGACCAAAAACCCACTCCTCACCACTGGTACATTTGCACCAGGTGTTCTCTCTAAAGGTCTTAAAACCTAGGAGACATCCAGATTTTCTTACCTTCCTACCATGACTGCATCTTGGATGCTTCAGTAAGGTGTTGGGGCATGGGGATGGCTAGCTGACCTCTTGTGGACCCTTCCCTCTATAGCTTCTCCATTTTCTCTTACATGCCCAGTATTCCCAGTGAATTTGTGGGTGACTTCTCTGAGTTTCATGGGAGCATGGGATGTCTCTGTCCTTGGCATGCTTCTTGCAACCCTGGGGAGCTCCCAGCCTCCTGGAATCCACCCAACCCTTGTGTGCCTTTGGCTGTTCCCACAGCCTGGTCAATTCCATTCTCACTCTCCCCCTTTTTCTATTTCAGCAACGAGTTCAGCAGGATGGTGGCAGGGGAATATCTGAAGTTCTTCGTGTTCACAGGAATGAGTCTGGATCAGGCTCTCAGGTCAGAACTGTGTGTGTACATGTGTGTGTGTGGTGGCCACCAGAGTGGGGTCCCAACAGACTGTACCCTCTGCAGTTCTGCAACCACACAGAGATCTGCAGGAGCAAGCAGACCCCATGACTGCCACCTAGAGATCCTCTTACCTCTTAAATAGGAAAGGGTGATTTCCAAGATGGTCTTTCAGCCATGCAACCAAGAAAAAACACTCCTGGTCTTAACTCAATGGTCAGTGCAGTTGAATGACAGTTCGGTTCACCTAGGCCTGACTTTCCAGGCCTTGAACTCAAATCCTTCTGTTGTTACACCTACCTCCTTTCCCAGTGTAGCTCCTGGGACTGGTTGTAGGTCTCTGCGATGTACCAGCAGGATGTGGTGCTGTGGACTTGGAGGAGAGTCCCACAATGCATTTGGAGGGAGGGAAGGTTGTGCAAAACAGGGCTTCATCCAGCACACAGGAAGGTCTCGAAAGCCAAAAGCACAGCTCCATTCCTGCACAGGGTGAGTTGAAGAAACTGCAGTGGGCTTCATGTGTGAACAATCCTGCTGCTCCTTTTTCAGGTCCTTTCTAAAAGAGCTGGCCTTGATGGGAGAGACACAAGAGCGAGAGCGAGTGCTGGCTCATTTTTCCCAGCGCTACTACGAGTGTAATCCCAATGCCATCTCTTCAGAAGGTAAGAAACTGTGCATGTCTGTGGGGAGTGTATGTGTGTGTGTGTGTGCATGTGTGTTGTCAGCTCAGTGAATGTGCTCAAACTGAAACTAGAGAGCAGGCAGAAAGCCTATACTGATGCCTTAGAAGACAGCCCCAGTATGTCATTTCCCTCAAATGACAGATGCTTTAGATTTTTTTTTTTTTAAGCCTGGTCTGGTTGGATGATGCATAATTAGGGCTCAACCCATTCTTAATTTTGACCTTGAGCAGATTAGCACAAGAGACACACTTAGCACACTCCTCACCAAATAGACCCCAGCTCTCAGACCCTCAGCTCAGGGAGTATCTAAGTGAGGAAACTTGTGTTCCTGGCATTTCAGAAGCACAGACACTCGCTTTGTACTATTTCATGTTTTCAGACCACTTCTGTGTGCATTCACACAGAATGGGTCTGCTTCTGGGTCTGTCCTGGGCTGACTCTGGCACTGGTGAGGTTTGGGCTGCCCGGCTGGCAGAGGCTGTGTTGGTCCTACCTTGCCATGCTAGGGGCTCTGCAGGATTAGCAGCAGCATCACTGCCTGGCTATAGGGGCAGCAGGCTTGGAAGGGAATTTGTATGCTCAAGCTTGGAACCAGTGGCCTCCTACCTACTTACCTGCAGGCTGTCAGCACTGCAGTGACTGCTGTGTCCCCTTGTGTCCAGGGTGGGAGGAGGGGGCTCAGCGCTGTCTTGGAGGCTCAGAGATCCCATAGCCTTCTTAAGATGCTGAGGCACTGGAGCACCAGCTGCAGGGCTGGGCTGGGAGCTCTAATTCCTGTCCTGTGCTTGTGCTGCAGATGGAACCCACACCCTCACGTGCGCCCTGATGCTGCTAAACACAGATCTGCATGGACATGTAAGTTACCACTGCCACCATTCCAGTCTGTCCCCTGTCTGACCTCACCACCCTGAAAGTGTAGGTGCTCAGGGAAGGGTGAGGATAGTGCCACACGAGCAGGAGGCATGGGACCCTGGACCCATAAGAGCTTGTCACTCCTAATGTGTTTGGTGAGGAGAGGCAAGAAAGGCTAAATTAGAGGAGGGGATAAGGAAGGATGGAGCGGGGCTTTGAAGGAGACTTGCTGAGCTGAAAGATTGAGAGGTGGAACGAGGACAGAAAAGAAAACTGAACAGGAAAAGAAGGTGGGAATGAGACTCCAAAACCAGCTGCCTTTGGGAGCAGGGAGCGCACAATTTTGAAAAAGGAGGCTATTTAAACCTCCTGGAGTCTCTGCAAAGCCAGCAGCTTCCCCATACCTGCAAGCAGCCTTCCAAAGACCTGGCTGGTCCCTCACCCCTCTGCAGAGATGGGGTGTTTGTTCCTGGGCTATGAGACCTGCTTCAGCCAGCAATGACCTCTGTCCCAAAGGTAATCCTGATGTTTCTCTCCCCCGACTCCCCCAGAACATCGGGAAGAGAATGTCCTGTTCCGACTTCATTGGCAACTTGGAGGGACTCAATGGAGGCACTGATTTCCCCAAGGAGCTGCTCAAGGTAAATTTGGTTGTTCTCCATGGCTGGCCAAGCAGCAGGAGCAGAAGTGAGAGCTTTGGGCTGGATCACATGGAGGGCTACCTGAGATGCTATGAATGCAAGATGCATTTACATGCAAGAACAGTGATGATCCCTGAACCTGCAGTTGTGCTCCTACTTTGCTGAGGGGAACATGGGCTGCTCCTTTCCCCCAGCAGGCCACTGGAGCTTTGCCTGGGGTTCTGATTCCCTCATTGCTCCTGCTGTGCCTGTACTGCAGGCAAGGGAGCACACATGGGGCATCTTACTAGGGCTGGTTTGTCCACCTGCAGCCAGAGGCTTCCTGGCATCAGTCCTGTGGTACTCAGCCCTTTCTGACTCCCTGAAGCCCTGGGACCCAAAACTTTGGCCAGGCCCTGGGACTGGAGCCATCTCTGGTGGCAGAGGTGATGTAGGCAAGGCATTGCGATGGGGAGAGTGGGCTGGATGTTAAAACCTCGGAGCTGGGAACTCACCACACTGGTGGGACTGGGGGACTGCTGCCTCCTCCCTGCCTGACCCAGTTCCTAGAGGGGCTTAGTCATGGAGAGCAGTGTTCAGCAAGCACCTCTGGCCTTGGACTGCTGCGCTTCTCTGGCATTGCCTGCTCCCAGGAGGATTTTCTGAGCTGCTGTCTCCCTGTCTCAGCCCCTGGGAATAGGCTTAGCTCCCATGGGGTCTGCCGGGCAGAAACTGCTGCTGTTGGTGAAGCGCTGCAGTTGGCAAATACTTGTGATGTGGAAGATGGGTTCCCACAGGGTGCTGGAGCCACAACGGGGGGGAGGTGGTTGATGAAAAAAGGCAACAGAGGATGAAAAGCTGAGCTCCCTTTTCAGCCTTTGTGGGTCTATTCCTGGTTGTGTCGCTCACCCCATCATTAAGGGGTTACCAGCAGCTCTCAATAGGGCTGTCCTCCCTCTCAGCCCACACTTTGCCAGTAAAAGGAGTTACTCAGGAAAAATTCTCCTCTAATTTTAAACCCAGTGCCAGAAAAGGCTTTAAGCACACAAAATGGATGGAAACCTATGAAATGTGAACCCTGGCCCTTCAGTGCTGCTACACTTTGGAGTATCTGAGCTCCACAGACTTCTTGGTGTGCCCCCTTTGCATCCCTCACTGCCCCATATTTGGGTGCCCACACTTGAGGCATTGCCCTATTAAGCTCAGCCTCTCAGAAAACCAGCAGCTGAAACACATGATGAAGTTACCACATCAGATCCCAGACAGAGGGAAATAGGGCAGCAAGGAAGTGCCGTGAAGCTACAGGCTTTCTCTCATGAGCAGTGGCCAAGATCTTTGCTGGGTGTAGGGAAGTGGAGGAAGGCTGCCGTGCTGCAGCACGGCCCTGCACAGCTCTGCCGGCAGCCCAGCAGCTGGGAGGCTGCTCTGCTAAAAATGGCCTGTTCCCTCTGCAGCTGCGGTGCTTCCCACCGCCGCTTCAGCCGCCTCTGTACAGGAGCCGTGCTGGGGAGGGGGAATGAAAGACAGTGTGAGGAGCCTCAGCCAGGGCAGGCGGCAGCTCTTCTGAAGCACCTGAAGCACTGCTCCACTTTTGAAACCCCCTGCCCGTGCAAGGAGGAGTAGGTTTCTGGGGCAGGTGAGATGGAGAAAGTGCTGTTGGCTTGTGCTGGGAGAAGAACTGGCAAGGGGATCTTGGGCAGCCTTAGCCAGCTCATCCAGAGAAAACACTCTTTCCCTTCTGCCCACTGCTTTTGCCTCCTTGATGCCTTGTAGTCCCTGCACAGGCTCAGAGGCAGACAAACGGGGAAAGGCTCTCCTGCTGCTGTGTCAGCCTGCATTAGCCCTGTTACCCCAAGCAGGATGCTTCCTCCTTGGCAGACCTGGCTGACGGGCTGTGCCTGGGGACTGAGGCTCCTGTGCAAGCGTGCCGCACAGCTGGCTGGCTAATTTTAGCATTCCAGGAGCAAATGTGTTTCCTAAGGGTAAGGGGAGGGGAAGGCAGGCTTCACAGGAGCTTCTCAAACCTGTAGGCCGGGTCTTGGGCAGCTCCAGCACCACAGAAGAAAGGTCCTGAGGCTCTTCCAAGCCTGCCTGGGTAGATAGCACAGGCTGCTACCCCATGGACTTCAGAGCTGGAGGGCTGGAGGTGGCTCCCACCCAAAGCACTCACTACCAGGGAACTGGGGCAGCAGGGCAGGACTGGTGGCTGCAGGGGCACAAGGCCACCATCCCCTGTGACTCTGAGGACAGCCTCAGGAATAGATCCACAGGGAGCCAGAGCACTTCCCCCATCTCTGGCTGCAGGGAGTCCCAAGATAAACGCAGCATGATGCCTGAGAGCATGTGGCAGCTTGAGTCAGACTAAGAACTTTATCTGCTACTAGATAATACATGTAAACAGTCCCATTTTTATGCAGAAGCAATGAAAACACTTGAAGAGCTTTCACAGCTGAGCATCACATCCCCCTCACTGCCAGTGCCTCACTATGCCCTGCACAGCACTGCTGCTGGAACTAAGGCAGTGCTGCCTTACCAGCAGTGCTGCTGGAAACCCTTTGTCTCTGAAAGCTCCCCTGGAGAACTATACTCTGCAGGCAGGGCTGCCCAGCTCTCCAGCTGAGATGTCCCCCTGAGCAGGCATGGAGCCATGCCAGGGATATAAGAACCCATATAATGCTGTGCCTGAAGTTGCCCACATCTGCAGGCTTGGGCCTGAACTCCTGTGGCCATGTGACAGCAGCTGCCCATGCAACAAGGGAGGAGGTGGAAGCAGGACATCCTGGAGCTGCTGCTATTTTGGTTAGCTTTTGAGATGTTGCTTTTCTCTTGACAGTGTGATTCCAGCCCAGGCCCCCTGGGATTTCACTCACCATTGCTGATTGTCTGTTACATTACAGATGTGGATTTGACCTTTATGTGATTGATCACTTTGTGGAGCCTTAGCTCATCCCCATCTTCTTTACTCTTTTAGCTTAACCTTGTGCTTCACTGACTGGCAGAAACAACAGTAGGGCCAAATTGGGCCCCATTTCTCACCAGCACTGCTTAGCAATTGCAGGAGTGAGCCAAATCTGTGCTGCCTGCCAGCCGAGGAGCCCAGAGCACGTCACAGATGTTAATGAATTAAGCCTGACAATGCAGTCGGGTCCTCGGGGGAGGAAGGTAGGATGGGCCCCCACCTTCCAGCTTGGAGGCACAACAGCAGGGCTCAGACGCTCAGAGTGCTGGGTAAGTGATTAGCAATGTGGGAAGAAAGCCCTGGCTCCCACCTCTGAGCTATAATCACAGGAACGCTTGCTCAGTCTAATCCCCTGGGCTATTTTTTTTTTTTTTGCCTGTTTCCCCTGGGAACGATGGGCTGTCCTGCCTCTGTCTCCCATGGCTCCCCTGGGCTTCAGGGGCAGCCCAGTACATCTGATGTGCCAGACATCCATGCCCCCTCCCTCACAAGTTGTGTCAAATGATCACTATGCCAAACAGGTAGGACAGAGTGGAAAATTTCCCCCTCTCCACTGGCTGCATCTCCTGCTCATTCAAGCCTAACTAAATTACGTATCGATCCTTGCGCTTTCTGCAAGGATGCCCAGCTCTTTGCTTCTTCATAGGAGCAACTGCCTAACTGCCTGAAGCGTCTTTGTCCTGCCCATAACCAGCCTTGTGACTGTAGCTACTGCTGTTTCCGGCCTGACCTGGGAGGGACAGGCAAGAGGCTTAAGTGTGGGGTGGGCACTGTAGGTGGAAAGTCTGAGCACATCTCCACTGGGCCCATCTCCTAAAGGTTTTGTAGGTCCCTGGTGTGGGCCGAGCTGCAGCAGCAGCTCTGAAGCCTGCCCAGCTGGAACCGAGTGGAGGTGCCACCTGGCCCCTGGAACTCGGGAGATGTCACCACCGCGGCGCCCCCAGGAAGGCACAGCCACCTGCTCCCACTCTCCGCGGAAAGGAGGCAGGGACGGCCAGGCGCTGCACCGGAGGCAGCTCGGGCAACTCGTGCGGCATCACCAGCAGGGATGCTGTCCCCCCGGTGGGATGCCCACCGCCGGCCCCCCGGCGCGGCTCAGCGCGGCCGGGCGCCGCCATTGGGCCCGGCAGGGCAGGGCAGGGCAGGGCAGGGCCGCCGGGCTCCGCGCCGGGCGCCCCGCCGCCCCCCCGCGCCGCCGGCAGGATGATCGGCGTCAACAGCATCAACAGCAGCGCGGGGCGCATGCGGTCCCGCTCCATGTGCTCGGTGCGCTACGGGCGCAACTACCGCGGCGTGGAGACCTTCTGCTACGGCTGGCCCCAGCGCTCCCGCACCCTCAAGCCGGTGCTCTACACCGACCTGGTGGTCAGCCGCATCCAGAGCCGCCGTAAGAAGAAGCCGGTAAGCGGCGGGTCGGGGGAGCGGGGGGCGCCGCGGAGGGATGCTCAGCGCCCTGCGCCCCGGCGGGGACATGGGCGGGTGGACATGGCCGGACAGTCGCCGTCCTGCCCGCTGCAAAAGCCTCAGCCCTAGTACGGATGTAGCGAGCAGGCAGCCCCATCTCTGTCTCCTGCCTGCTTTCTGCGGAGCTGGGTCTCCATGCTCCCTCCGCCCGAGGGTCCCTGTCCCCAAGCCTGGATTTCTTCCCCCCGCCATCCCACCCCGATCACGGGAGTGGCGGGAGCGCGGCAAGACCTGGGTGACATTGCGCCGCTTACAGCGGTCCGGCAGCAGTGCTTGCTCGAAAACATCGCTGCGAGAGGAATCCAGGACAGAGCCGTACCGCTGGGACCTGCCCTACGGCTTAGCATAAGTGACAGGCTCTGCGGGCTCGCTGCCAGGGGTTGCTCTGCGCCGTGCCCTGGCCAGCCCAGCCGGGGCAGCCTGGCACCCACCTGAGCGTCAGGGAGAGCCGCAAGGCAACGCGGAGGGGTAGCGCCGCAGCCCCGGCTCCCAGCCGAGCAGAGTTTGAGAGGAAGGAGTGGCTGGACAAAAAAGGTCTTTTTACTGCCAGGAGCTTGCTCGCTGGGAGCCGTCATCCGTTTTGGAGGTGTTAGGCTGGTGCGCATCGGTCCTAGGTGGGAAGAAGCGAACCGGCTGTCTCTGGGCGGGTCGTGCCTCGGTCGGGCGCTTGCCTCGGGTGTAGTAGCGGGAGAAGAACGTTCACCAGCCCCCCTCCTCGCAGGCAGGCTGGGGCAGAGCAGTCAGGGTTACCCCAGAGCTACTTGGGCTGCCCCCGTGGCCAAAACCAGCCCGGTGGGGCCGTCGGGGCCGTGCGAGCCGCGGTGCTGTCATAGCGCAGTACGGTCTGGGGGCAGCATTAAGTTGTGACGCACTCGGATGGAAACATGCAGTTGGGAGACGCTCGGTCGCTGCTTCCCGCGCTGAGGGGCTGCTCTGGGAAGGGTCTGTTGTCCTGGGGGTGATAGTTGCCTGGGCAAGGAGTGGCTTAAATATTTTGAAAGAGGCTGATGCAGCTTACAATGTTACTGAGTCAAAAGTGTGGGGCCAGGATGGGTAGTTGTCACCTGCTACCACCCATGACTGCAGCAGGGTGGAAGGTGATGCACAGGACATTGTCCCCGTGACAGCCCCTTCTATGGGAGAAAAAGTCTGTCCCTAAGTCAGTCTGCTCTGTGTGCACACAGGAACCCTTCTGCAGCAGAGGGGAGGGAGGGAGGGAAGGAGGAACATGGTGGGGTATATGCAGTAGGGCTGGTATGTGCCAGGTGATGAGTTGTTCTTGAGCATGGGTTGTGCATGCTGTGGAGGTGCAGGAGGTGTGGGCTGGGGGTGGGGGACCTGCCAAGATGAATTAGGGACCCAACATAGGTACAGTTCTGACATACAGCCCTGATCTGACCCTGCTGTTTGGATCAGTGCAGCTGGGACGTCTGCGTGCCTGGGGGACCTCACAGAGCTTTGTGGCTGGATGTAGCAAAGATATTTTGCTAAGATAAAGTTGGGGACAGCCAGCAATTGAGCTTTCATATTTAAATGCTGTCAGTCAGAGAGAGAGGTAGAACGACTGCAGGGAGGGTGCTTGGTGGCTGTGAAGTCTGTCATGAATGTCATGAATGTCATGAACCCATGGCTAGTCACAGGGCTGACAAAGAGAAAGGGGAGCCTTGGTATGCACCTTGCTGCATGGAGAGCTGAGCACTGTGTTTAGCAGAGGAACAAGCAGACTGGAAAGGGAATGTATCCATAAGAGTTATGATGCATAACACAAGCACTCCAGAAAGGGTTAAAGCCCTCGTCCAGATGCTGAAATTCCTGCCTCAGTCTTCATCTGTTACTTGACTGCTGGGCTACAGCCCTCAGTGCAGTCCCATGCCAAAGCTGTGTTCAGGCCAGCTTGTTGCTCAGCTCCACAGACCATCACTGGATCTTGCCTCTGGTCTGTTCTGAGCTGAGGAGCTGAAGGCAGGTGTCTTCTCCCTACGCTGCTTACGTAGGTTGTCCCCAGCATGGCTGGGCTAGAACATCAGAGCCACCTGCCTCTTGCCAGTGCAGCCCCTCAACTGTCCTTGAGACATTTGGTAGAGCAGGACACACAGACAGCCTCTCAGCCTGCTTTTGGGAGGGAAAGCACCAAAGAAAGTTGTTGATTCAGTTAGAAATCCCCCTGGGACAGTACATTCCTAGGTCTCTTTAGCGTTGCGCATGTGTAGGGCAGAGCTGGCTGATTGGCCTGGCACGCTGCAACGGTGAGCTCATAACCCAGCGATGGCAAAAAACCCCAACCATGCCTGGGGTCATCATCCATAGTGGCATGTGGCCAGTGCCCAGCTTTCTCTTGGGTAGTACTTGCAAGCTCAAAGATGCCTAAGAGTTGCTGTGCTTTTGGCCCAGGGGAAATTAACCCACAAAGCAAAGAGAATCTAGAGAAAGGCACATGCTGAGTGATGAATCCGGTGTCTGGTCTCTGCTGACGTGGCTGTGAGTTGGGCTTCAGGAACCTGCGCTTCCCCAGCAGAAACAGTCTATGCACCAGAATTGTGTGGACTGACAGGCAGTGGCTCTGCTATGGGACTAGAACAGCAGGGTGGGATTTGTGGCTGGAATGCATCTCCTCAGCTAGGACTTGGGCTGAGTCCACCAGCTTTGTACCTGAGATTGATTTTGGTTGGGGCTGGTGTTTAGCCAAGCAGAATTTTGGCAGGTTTTAAGAATAGATGTAAAGCTCCGTGTTGCCTTCTCAGTCACAGTTTTCCTGTTTGCCTCTCACTGTCTCCTTGTACAGGAGTGTTGAGCAGCCCCTGCTTCCTGTCTCCGAGGTGGTACTTGGCAGCCCCTGCTGGTAATGGGCTTGGTGAGATGCTCTTGGGGCTGGTAGCAGGGCAGCTGGAGCCTTTTGAAGTCATAAGGCAGTTCAGCCTTTGAAGTATTCAGCCAGAGTCCCAGGGCCCAGGTTTTTGTAATGCAGTATTCTGCCAGGCTGTTACCCAGCACTGTGCCATCCCAAATTACTCCTTGAGCATCTTCTTCTATTGGCTTATTCACTCATCATTTAGCAGCAATCCTTCTGCAAGCCCTGCACAGGGCTGGGGTCCTCTCCAGCCCTCCAAAATCCCTGCTCAGCTGGCTCACATCTCCCTTCCTTGGGGCAGGGAGCTGACACTTCTATATATCACCAATGAGCCAGATGGAAGCCAAGCCATGTGTGCCATTCTACCCACTCTTTCTGAGGTGCTTTTATGCTGTTTCCAGTGCCCACTACTCTGCCATTTTGTTTTAGTCTCCTTTTGTGCCTGTTGGTTCTCGGTATTTTTCAGCTGCATCCCTGGCAGTAATATCCCTTCCCTTCTGTTTCCCATAGTGACTCCTTGTCATCTACATTTCTCTGAGATCCTGCTTATCCCCCTGCTCTGCTCCCAGATTATGTTCTGCAGGGCTTTGGATTGCTTTTTTCCTCCCAGATTCTTCTCTAAGTCTCTTTGCTCCTCTGGCCTTGCTGCCAGCCCGCTGGTCAGTACCTCCTGCTCACAAGTTAGCATCCTGCCCCTCTGGCACTGGGACTGCATGAATGGGTCTGGGATCAAATCTTCTCTCAGGCTCTGAGGCCATTACCTCTTTATAGGTCTCCTGTCTTCCCAGGAGAGAACTGAACCCTACTTTCTGCCTGCTAGATTGAGACGATCCTTTCCTCCTCTGAGAAACAAGCTGGTGCTATGCCAGCATTTCCCCAGCGGGAAAGTGTGGAAGGAGCTGGGTTCCCACTCCATCCTGGCTGCTGTGCCTCTTGGGAGTGATGGATGTCCCTTCCCCAGACACCACTGGGGCTGTCTGCTGGCCAGCATTCCCGGGCCCCTGCACGCCTCCAGCTGTACTTTCTCAGCCACCAGCAAGATTTCTCAGCAGCAGTCTTCGGCCCAGTGATGGATGTTGACAGCTGCATGAACAGCCTGTGCAAGACTCGATTATTTTCCTTCAAGGATGATGCCTTCCAGATCTTGCTCTGAAGCCCTCTGTGAGCACTGTATTGAAACCCTCTCTGGAGCCTCCCTGACTGCAGAGCTGTGCTGAGCACTGCTGGCTTGCACCCAGCTAAACTGGACAAACACTTGGGAGTGGGGCCCTGGAGTATCCTGCTGCAGGCAGGCTTAGCTTGTTCCTGTGCAGAAATACAGGCAGCTGACCCTGCCTTGCTCAGATGGGTGTTGTTTGGGTCTCCAAGAAGGGAGAAATGTTTGGAGGTGCTGGGCAGGGGGTAGAGACAGGCCACAGCTACTCCACGCTCCTACCTTGACCAGCCAAGAGGACAAGGTCCTCTGAGGGCCTCATGAAGGACAGCATGCTAGGGCCTCTGCCAGGGCAGGGCCAGCAGTGCTGAAGTCTCTCACCAAGTGTGCTCCTGTGGGAGCAATGCATTGCTGGGGGATGCTAGGTGCTGCCATGAGCTGATCTCTGCCAGCCCAGGGTGGGTGGCTGACTGCAGTGAAGTTGTCAGCTGTGGTCTCTTGTGGCATGGAGCTTCTGGAGGCCCTGGAGCAAGCTGAGATTCCACTGAGCAGGGTGAAGGCATGCAGCAATGAAGTCTGTCCCAAAAGCTTGCTCTCCTTGGGCTCAGGTCTCCTGAAGGCTGTCATTTTTATCAGCCTGAAACACCTTGGGATAGGGAGAAACAGCTCTCCCAAGCACTTGGAAATGTTAGGTATGCCTCACCATTATGCTGCTAACACTGTGGCACTGTCACGGGCTGGAAGAGACAAAGGGTAGGAGAGGGCAAAATGCCAGGGCTATCCCCAGCAATTCTTTGGGGTGGGGAGGGGTTTGCCGATCCTGTGGTCCCCAGTACGAGGTGTCTGTAACCTTAAATTGAGGTCAACTGGCTAGCCTAGCCAGGACAGATCTGGACTGGAACAAACTGGCATGGGGTTACCTTAAGCTCTAGAGGCCTGAGCCAGTCTGGCATGCCTCCTCTGTTCCCCAGAGCAGACCCCCAGCCTGGTGTCCTGCTGACCCGCCACTCTTCTCTCTGCAGGCGCTGTACAGCTCCATCAAGAACGAGAAGCTGCAGTGGGCCATGTGAGTACCCCTGCAGGGGATGCTGCTGCATGGCTCTGGGTGGGCAGGGAATCCACCTAGCCCCAGAGGCTGCACAAGCCATGATGCTGCAGGGCAGCTGCCCCTGTGAGGATGAGGGAAGGAGAGGGAGCTTGGGATGGGCTGGGGTGCAGGCAGTGTACCCCTGGCTGCCCTCAGCACTGTCTTGGGGCCCCTTCTCCAGCGTGCTGGGGGAAAGCCACCTGAGGTTGGCTTCTTGCAGCTTCGGCCTGGGTTTGTGTCTTGGTGGCTGTCCAGGGTGGGAATAGGCAGGCTCTGGAGGTGCTGTGACTGTGCTGGGGCCCCACAGGGTGCCTGCACCCTCGCCCACAGCTGCCATCGCCAGCAGCAGGAGCGGCAGCGCCTGCGCTGCAGGGATTAATCAGCCTGGTGCTACCCAGTGCTGAGCGATGCACTCGACCGCTGCCATGGAGACGCCGGCAGATGCTGAGGGGTTTAATTAGCAGCAAGCGGCTGAGGGAGTGGGGAGGCAGCAGCTCTGGGCTCCCACATCTTCCTGCGGACAGGGGGAGCGGCACCGGTGCAGCCTGCCCATAGTGGGGGCTGTGACCCGGTGGGAGCGGGCTGCCTACATCCTGCACACACCTGTTCCTGCCCTTGGATGGTACTGCCGAGGCCTTCCTGCCACAGTCTCCCTGCACCCCTTTGCCTCTGGTTCTGAGCCCTGTAGTCTGGCTGCCACCCTTAAAATGTGGGGACCAAAGCCTGGGTCTCTCCTTTTAGGGGCAGTCCATTCTATACCCTCCTCCCTACCAGCTGGAGACCTGTGAGCCTGTATGCCGTGGGCTGGGGGGCTGTGGTAGTGCCAAGCCTTGGGGTACTGCTCCTCCATCACTTCTGGCTCATCAGCCTGGCTGGCATCTGTTGCACTCCTACCCAAAAAAAGGCTTTTCACTCCCTGGGGCAGGCAGGGGTCCCACCCTGAATCAGCAGCAAAAGCCCAGTGCCTTGTCTTTCAGGGAACCAGGCAGCACCTCAGCTGTCTAGAGAGACAGGGGCATGGCTAGGTTTGGGATGCTCACCAGTGCTGATGGAAGACTGCTCATCCTGGCCTACTGCTCCTGGCTTCCCTTTCAGAAGCCAGGCCTAAAAGTGGCACCGACCAGTGGGGAACTTGGTATTTCCTGTCCCCAGAAAGGTAACAAACTTTTTCCCCACCCAAATCTGATTGACAGAGATGAAGAGGAGCTAAGAAAGTCCCTCTCGGAGCTGGCAGATCCCAACCCAAAGTCCATCAAGCGCATCAGCAGCTGCAGTAATCCCTTTCTGGACTTTTCCCAGGACGCCAGCATTGCCACTTACAAGCACGGGCTGTTAGTCCGCAAGATCCACGCCGATCCCGACTGCAAGAAAAGTAGGTGCCAGGGAAGCCCATGGGGGGCACTTGCGGCAAGAGGGCACCAGTGAACTCCAGAACCGAATGGGAAGCAGGGCAGGAGTCACTATGTGATGTCCGTCTGTAGCTTTATGCCAGCCTCCAGCATCAGTGCCCTGTCTGTCTGGCTGTGCCAGGCATAATTCAGCCCTCAGGCTGGGGAGCTGGAAAGCCTCTCCCTGCCCACAGCACTGGGAAAGGGGCAGGCAGGGTGGTGGGGTGGGGTCTCTGGGGGTTGCAACCTGCCACAGGACTGTGTGGGTGAAGGGAAGTGTCCTGTGGTGTGATAGACAAGGTACACAGCGGGCTGCAGCTGGTTGGGCACTGCCAGTCACGTTCACCGTATTCCCCATAAAATCCCTCCTAAGCCCTGGCTGTCTAATGCTGCCTAGAAGTGATTAGATGCAGCCGCCCTTCAAAGCCAGCATTACCTGGCAGGCAGCACTGCCTTGTCCCCATGCCCGAGCACGGAGGCAGTGGTGAAGCCGAGCACAAGCAGCGAGGCGGGGAGCACAGGGGAGCGCAGCACAGCGCTGGCCCCGGGAGGCAGCAGGGCCCCCCTGCCAGCAGCACCATCTGCCAGCCACGTGGCCTGCACGGGCTCAGGTGCGCAGGGACAGTCCTGGCGTGCTGCCCGTCCCGGGGGTGGGGTGACGTGCGTCGTGGCAGGGCTGGCTGGAAGAAGGTGGGGGGTGGCTCTTCCCCCCCGCTCAGTTCTGATGCTGATGTCTGAGCTGCTCTCTCCTCCCTGGCAGCACCCCGAGGGAAGCGCGGCTGGAAGCCCTTCCACGCCATCCTGAAGGGAATGATTCTCTACCTGCAGAAGGTAGGCAGCAAGGCCACCCACATCCGCACCAGGGAGAGGGATTGTCCCCAGTCCAGAGAGACAGCAGTCTCCACAGCAGTGAGAGAGGACCTGCAGCAGACAGCATTGCAAAGCCTCACCTAAGCAGACTCAGCACCCTCTATGCCTGAGCTGTTGCTTGGGGACCTGGTGGCATCCCTGTTTCCAGTGTGCTTGGGTACAGCTTGGGCAGTGAAAGGCGCTGCTAACTGAGAGTGCTGCGTGCGGGGGGCTTGGCTGGGAAGAGAAGGGCATCAGGGTCTTTCTCTGAGTGGAGGCTTGGGCTGCACATCCAGTTCCCTGCAGGCACACACACAGAGAACTGGGAGCAGTGGGGAACAGCCCCCTGTGCTGTTGCCAAGCCAATGTGCCTGGGTTGTGTAGCGTCTCTCCAGGGGTGTAGCATGAGCTGGAAGCAGAGTCCACAGCTGCCTGGTGAAGGGTGATCTCCAAGCCCTGCCACAGCCAGCACTAGTCTGCAGTTCCTGAAACCTCAAGCTGACTCATGGTGGGGTGCATCCCTGAGCTGGCTCTGAAACACCCCATGATTTGCAGGAGGAGTATAAGCCAGGGAAGGCACTGGCAGAAGAGGAACTGAAGAATGCTATTAGCATCCACCATTCGCTTGCCACACGGGCATCTGACTACAGCAAGCGACCCAATGTCTTCTACCTCAGGACAGCTGACTGGAGGGTCTTCCTTTTCCAAGCACAGTGAGTCCTTCAGGATCCCTGGCTGGGCCCCATTCTGGGGCACAGAAGCTCCCCTGACTTGAGTTGAGGGTGGGATGGGGCTTAGGGCCACCTTGGTCTCTCCTGGAACCCTTTCTGGAAGGAGAGGGACCTGGTATCAGTGCTGAGCTTTGCCCAGCTCCTCTTTTTCCTACCCTGCTGGGCTCAAGTTGGCTGTAGGTAGAGTCCCAGGTGCCATGGCTGGCCAGGGCCAAGCCTGGGGGACTCAGACCTTGTCTGTGGAGCATATCCCTCTGTCTTTGACAAAGATAGGCCATGTGTATTTTGGCCTTTTTTCTCAGGAACCCCGAACAGATGCACTCGTGGATCACACGCATCAACGTGGTGGCAGCCATGTTCTCTGCGCCCCCCTTCCCCGCAGCCATCGGCTCCCAGAAGAAGTTCAGCCGCCCGCTGCTGCCCAGCTCCTGCACCAGGCTGTCTCAGGTGGGCCACAGCATGGGGGAATGGTGACCCTGGGACAAACCCCCGGATCTGCCAGTGGCACATTCCCCTCTGGGGGCATCTGAGTGGTGCCATGCACCCAGCTGCCTCCCCAATGAGGTGAAGGGCTAAGAGGGAGACAGAGAAAAGGGATACTGAGACTGGGGGCAGACAGTGAGAGCTTGTTCCTTGCAGTGGGGCTGGAGTAAGGTGATGGTCAGACCATGGAGGAGAAAGTGGTCCCACATCACGGCTTGCAAGGTCCTGCCAGGGACCTTGAAAGGCAACTGACTAGAGGGATTAGCTGGCACTCGTGCATACCAGGGCAGTTATTCATAGAGCAGAAAGGATTTAAAAAAAACCACCAGCCTAGTTTTAGAGGGATTAAATTCTGCTTGAAGACTGCAGTCAGCCCCTCTATGAGGTGAGAGCAGATTGCCCCCAAGAGCCTGTGATTTTGCCTGCCATTAAACAAAACAAAACAAAACAAAAAAAAAAAAACAAAAAAAAAAAAAATCAATCCCAGCAGCAGAAGCTGAGATCCTGGCTGCTCCTAGAAGGGGAAAAACCTGTTCTGTCCCTGGCCATCTCACACTAACAGGGGGACAGAGCAGGGCACTGACATGGTGCCACCCTTCCCCAGGAGGAGCAGGTGAAGAACCATGAGACCAAGTTCAAGACAATGTCAGCGGAGCTGCTGGAGCATCGTTCCTCACTGCCTGAGAAAAAGGTGAAAGGCAAGGAGTACGAGGAGCTAAAGCAGAAGGAAGAGTACCTGGAATTTGAGGTAAGCTGGAAGATGTCCCCCTCTGCCCTCAGGCCCTCTGCCCCTTCCTGTTTGGCCATCCTCAGTGATGGGACTAATCCATCCCATCAGCTGAATTACACTGCCACTGCCGAATTACACTGCCACTGCCGTGGTCTAGGACCACGAGCATTCCTCTGCCCCGAGATGCTGGCTGGGTTGGAGGGACCATGAGCATCACCCGCTGCAGGGATGCTGGCCATAGGACAGTACCCAGCTTGCCAACCTCTCTCTCTCTCTGCTGCACTGTGCTCCTCAGAAATCCCGCTATGGCACCTATGCCATGCTGCTGCGAGCCAAGCTGAAGGCTGGCTCCGAGGACCTGGCAGCATTTGAGTCCACCCTCTTTGACACAGTGGGTGGGGAGGACGATGGCCTGAAAAAGTCCCGCTCCAGCCCCTCACTCAACGCAGAGCCCTCCAGCACGAGCACCAAGGTGAAGCGCAACGTCTCAGAGCGCACCGGCCGCCAGCCCTCTGGCCACCCCCAGAAGTCGTAAGTGTGGGGTCTCAGCTGCCTGCACTGCAGCTCTGTTCCTGTTCCCCCGGCACGGGGGTGGAGGCTGTGTGCCTGCCGAGACCCTGCATGTGTCCGTCTGTCTGTGGCATGAGCTGGAGGGGGTGACAGCCCTTCTGCAGCCGCCAGCACCAGCCATGCAGGGCCGTGGCCCCTCCACCGGAGACAGTGGCAGAGCAGGATGGTACCCAGTCCTTGCCTGCAGGAGCTGCCTGGCCCCATCAGACCTGTTCTGCCCCTCCTCGTCCTGCACTTGGCTGCAGGACCTACTCTTGCTGCCATGGGGAGAGGGAGCAACTGAAACCTACCCGCTGGGCTCAATTCTTCAATGGCTTAAAAAAAAAAGACAAATGCAGGAAAACAAAGCCAGCGGCCGCTTCTCCAGCTCCATCGTGGCATGGGGGTAGATGGGCGGGGGCCAGCCCTAGACTGTCCCCTCTCCTAGGGCTGGTGGCCAGGGAAGCCAGGGCAACAGCACCTGGTCCCTTCCCTGCCACCTCAGTCACCTCTGCACCCTCCCCGCTTTCTTACAACTTTTGAACCGTTTTTGTGATACAGTTTTGCACTTTTTAGTACCAGATCAAGCTGACCACCAGGAAGGTTTTTTTTTTGGGTCTACTTTTGATGCTTTATGGGAACTGTTTAAAAAAAAAAAAAAAACACAAACCCAGCCATATCTTGTAGGCAGTGCACTCTGAGGGAAAGAGGTTTTTAAAAGGACTCAGGGGGCGATCCAGCTCCCCACGCCCCCGCCCTACAGCAAGCTGAGTGTGGGCTACTGTGTGTACTGCTGCTGCCTGCTCCCCAGCTCCACTTCAGCACCAGCAACCCTTTGGGGAGACAGCCCTGTGGCTGCCAGTTCCAAGGAGGCAGCCTTGAGATGGCAGCACCTATTGCTGCACGTGTGGCTGCATGGGAGGCTGATGCACCGGTGCTTCATGACCCCCATTTTCCACCACCCACTGCTGGCAGCTTGGACTGGCCCTGTTTGCAGCAACCTGGGTATGAGCATTGTACCCAGGGCATGGTGGGCAGCAGTGTGTAAGTGCTTGCCATGGAGTGGTGACCCCTGGAGCCAGGGTTGATATGGGGGTCCCCATGCCCTACGGGTCCCGTACAGGCTGGAGCCAGCTTTTCTTCCCATCTCTTTTCCAATGCATGACTGGGGCCTCAGAGGCTACCAGCAAAGCCTGGTCTGTAGTGCTGCAGTCCTCATGCTGCAGCAGCACTGGTGCAGCCCCTTCCTCAGCAACAGGCTCCCTCCTTGCCAGCATGAGGGGCAGGCTGGGGCAGCCCTCCCCACTCCAGAGTGGGCTGAAGGATGCTTGTCTAGAGCAAGATGTAAGTGACAGAGCATGGCTGCAGGATTGTCCAAAAAGGGATCCAGGCACAGTGAAGGGCTGTGACCAGGGGCTGACACACACGCAGTTCTCAGCCGCCTGGGACCTGGCTGGTTTCAGCACTGACTTTGCGAATGTGTCAAAACTTTTTATTCTGCTCTTTTAAGTCTATTGAAAAAAAAAAAAAAAAAAAAAAACCAAAACCACCCTTGCTCCAGGTGGCTTGGGAGGTGGTGGGGAAAAAAAAAACCTTTGTACAGCTTCTTCTCTCAGTTACTGAAGTAAAACTCGCTCTTCACTTCTTGGGTGTGCTGTGGTTTCTTCCCCATGGCTGAGGACAGCCCCTGTACCAAGGGATGCTGAGGAGGGGCTGGCAGCTGTCTCCTTGCTGCCAGACTTGAGACCCAGGCAGGGTTCAGGGGGTTTAGTGCCCAGCTCACTGCTGGGGCTGGAGAGAGGGAGGGCAAAGACTAATGGAACCTGCGTCCTTTTATTCGGAAGAGAAACCATTAAATAAGAGCAGAGACGGGCAGGAGCCAGCTGCATCCCATCCCCCTGAGTCCAGGAGCTGGACCCCTAGTCCAGAAGGCACTTGTGTGGGTAAGGCAGAGGGCAGTGTAGCTCCCTGTGTGGTCACAGGGGCTGCTGGCTGGCTCCTCAGTGCACCTGTGGCTGCTGGCTGGGGGGCAGCTCACCCCCCGTCTTCAGGGCTAGCGTGGGCGCCTGCTCCTCCTCCACGGACTCACTGCCATAGGCACTGTCTTCCTTCAGCTCTGCAAAGCAATCCCCGGCTGCTCTTAGTGATGGGGCAACGGGAGGGGCAGCAGAGACACTCCCTGCCCACCAGCCCCAGCCCTCACTCTCTGTACCTGTGCTTTGCAGCTTCTCCAGTGCCTCGGTTTTGTGGAGCATCCTCACGGCGTTGTGGAGCCCCATGGAGTCCAGTGCCTCCAGCAGTCCCCCCAGGCTGCCACCTGCCAGCTGCAGAGAGAGGGCACTGAGTAGGGCTGATGGCCAGAGAGGCAGAGGGGACAGAGGCACCGCAACCAGACACTGACCTCGTAACTGCGCAGGAGGCTGACGCTGGGCGAGGGCGTGTCCTTGTATGTCTCCACAAGGCTGCACAGCCCCAGGCGCTTGGCCAGCTCGATCCAGTCTGACCCACTGCAGTCCTGGTTCAGCAGCTGCTCCAGCCCCTGCAGTGCCTCACTGTCCAGTGACAGGACCTTCCCTGTGCCAAAGAGGTGCCCCTATCACAGGCTGCCCATCCTTGCTGCCGGGAGGGTGTTACCCTCCCTAGGTGTGGTGCTGCTGAGTTGGGGGGTGGGGGCGGGAGGGGCTGCTCACCTGGCTGGGGGGCAGTGGGCAGTCGTGCCTCGGGCCCCTGCTGGGAGGCCTGCAGCAGGATCTCCCGCACCTGCAGACAGACATGGATGTCAGTCTTCCAAAGCACTGCCCACATCCCCCATTGCCTCCTCACACTTCGGATCTCTGCAGGACACAGAGGAGCACAGGCATCCTCACAGGAGCATCTCCTGGAACTCTGCTCCATCCATGCCATGGCCTGCACAAAAACTTTCCCAGTGAGTTTGTCCCCACTGCGCCACACACCTTCTGGCTCCGAGTCAGGTCCAGGGACGTGTGGCAGCGGCGCTGCCTGTGCCCTGCCTGCCAGTGCCCCTGTGTGGAGAGCCTGGAGCTGGTGCTGTGCTCTGCAGCCAGGGCTGGCTCCCCCAGATCCATGGCCAGCTCCTGCTCCTCAGGATCAGTGTCTGTGTCGCTACTGGCCTCTGACGAGGATAGGCTCATGGGCTCATCATTCTCACACAGAACATCTGCCCCTGTCGGGAAAGGATGGCATGAGCCAGGCCCACGGGTCTGACCTTGTGCCTGACACCAGCCAGCACAGGCAGCCAGAGCTGTGGGGAGGGAAGGAGGAAGGGCAGTGCCTTACCAGCTTTAAGAAGCAGTTTGGTGAGGGTGGGGGAGCCCAGGCCAGCAGCCAAGTGCAAGGGGGTGTTCCCGGCGAAAGTCCGGCTGTTGATGTCTGCTCCCAGCTAAGAAAGGTGTGAGACCATGAGGATGATCTGCCTGGGCACTGCTCCTCCTACAACCCAAGGCCTCAGGGGAGCCTCCACTTCTGCCAGGAGCCTGTAGCAGGCTGCACTCCATCCCTGTCCCACAGCCACCACTACACCAGCTGCTCCATACCTTCTTCACTAGGTGGGTGGCCATGTTCAGGTTCTCCATCTCCACAGCCAGGTGCAGTGGGGTCCTCCCACTTTGCCTCTCCACTGCATTCACATCTGCTCCCGTCCTGACCAGCAGGTCCAGGCAAGCCAAACTCTTTGCCTTCACAGCCAAATGCACAGGCAGGAGGCCTGCAAGATGGGGATAGGCTCAGCAGCTTTCTGGTCAAGTCCATGATGGCACCACTGGGGTCCTGCCCATCACCCCTGAGCCACACTCACCATGGAAATTGGGCAGGCGGAGCAGATAAGGGGCAGCTGAGCCCAGGTGAGCCAGCAGCGTCCTCAGCATCTCTTCATCGCCAGCCTGGAGTGCCAGGTGCAGCAGGGAATTGCCATAGCGGTCCAGCAAGGTTGGGTCGGCGCGGGCTTGCAGCAGGAGCTGGACCACTTGGGGCTGCTTGGTGATGACTGCCAGATGCAGTGGCGTCTGCAGGACAGCAGCACATCCTCAGCAGCGCTCACAAGAGGAGCCAAGTCCTGCACCACCATTCTCTCCAGCAGCTGCAACTTGTTTAGATCTGCAGCCTCCCCTCAGCAGGAGCAGCTACAGGAGCCCCCAGGGTTGGAAAATAGGAGTGAGGAACTACTCCCAGGTAGAGGAGAACTGGCTGCTCTAAAAAACACGTACCTGTTGCAGGTTATTGGATATGTTGATGATCTGCTGGCTGGGGATGCTAACAATGACGTCGATCAGCTGCTTGATCACAGCTGTCTGTTCATGGATAATAGCGAGGTGCAAAGGCCTGTAGAGAGAGTGGGACGGCCCCTAGCTCAGCTCCATAATTCTCCAGGTACTCCCTACTGTCCTCAGAGCCCCCATAATGACTGACAGACAACAAGACCACCCTGCTCTCCCTTCAAACCCCTCGCGTGCTCACGTGTCTCCGTTCTCATCCTGTGACGCGGCCAGGTGCCTCTGGACTGCCAGCAGCATGCGGGGGTCGGCGGTGACCGAGTAGTCGAGCAGGGCATGGGCATTGCGACGGGCTAACGCCAGCATCCACAGCTGGCACAGCTGGGCTGGGGGGCAAAGCAGGATGTCACCTCCAGGAGCAGCAGCCCCATCCACCCTTTGGCATCCACCAGGTGTGGAGAGCAGCACACAACCCCAAAAGGTCCCCACTCCATGCCTCCTCTCCTGTGCAATGTGCCCAAGCCCTCCCTCAAGCTCAGCTCCTCCTACCGTGCTTCTGCAGCTCCTTGCAGTACGTGCTTTCTTCTGCAGGTGCCTGCCTGTCGCTCCCAGGCCCCTCTGCCTCGGGGCCCTTCATCTGCACACCCCCCTGGTAGCTCCCCACTGGGTGGGGGCCGGGAGAGTAGATGCTGTTGTAGGTCAGCCCAGAGGAGTATGGGAAGCTGAGGTTCCCACCTGTGGGGCAAGGTGGAGGATGGGTGAGCAGAAGGGAGCCCCCAGGGCCAGACCTCAGCCATCTGACAGAGGAGGAAGAGGCATCACCACTCACCTCCTCCAGAGCCAAAGCCCCCGGCCCCTCCACCGGCCCCCCCCATGTGCGAGCCACCGCCAAAGTGCTGAGGAAACTGAGGCAGGACTTTCTTGCGCTTCCTCTCCACTTCTTCCTTATCTGTGGGGAGACAGGGGCAGCAGGGTGAGAGGCAGCCCCAGCAGCAGGGGACATGCCAGCCTGCCTGGGTGGTGCTCACCTTCCACCACTGGGTAGTAGGTGAACTGCTTGGAGTCACTCACATCCCCTCCCCGCTTCCGCTTCAGCTGCAGGAAGAC